ATGTCATGATATACTAGTAAAATCAAAAGTACAACAAGTACAAATGATGCTGCAATGCATCAATTTAGAAGCTCTGCGCAAAAATGCGCTCATTACATATACCTTACCAAATCATTCCTACACATAGGTTATGTTCTATTCAGATTAAGTATTATTGTACTTGTATTTTCTTTCAGATCTCCAGACATGTTTCTTAAAATTGTTTTCTTTTACATGCATAAATGTATGATGTAACCCGGCTACACTTCTACTTAAATAAACTACTCGTCTGATTGATATTGCGTTAATAAGTTTGTTCTTGTATTTGAAACTTTTTAGTGAAGAAAATACTTCTAAATGTAATTTGTCATGACACTAGTGCAACACTGTTCTGGTTGTGTCACAACTGTAGTCTGTAGTATAAAATGATAAAAAAATCAAAGCTTGTACATTTGTTTTTTCACATATAATGCTACTCATTTTATACAAATATCAATTACTTATAATGGAAAGAAATATAAGAGAAATATGAAAAATCGATTTGTTCATAAGCTAAAACAAAATCTTTAATGGATTTTACTTTTCAAAATTAGCATATTAAATGTATTTTCCTTTGAACATACAAAACAGTAGTCAAAATGTACAAAGTTTTTTCTTTATTATTATAATTGTAGCAAATATACAAATAGTAACAAATTAGTCAATTAAATAAATAGTTTCTATTAATACCTGGGATTCAAGAAACAGTAGTTATAGTCAAGTCCCAGATAAATACTGAAAGTATAACACACACTGGAATGAAAAAAAATGGGATGAATTTGAAAAAGACCAAATTCAGGATTTTTTGTTAATAAACGTTGTATGGTGAAACATTATTTATCAATAAAATGGAAGACTGTTACCTGAATTTTAGAAAGGTATGAGGAAATTCACTAGTATCATAATAGTGGGAGTCCTAGATAAAAAAGCTACTTGACATTGATGATAAATAAAGAGCTATTGTTAATTGACTTATTGGGAGATCAATCTACTGTTTTGTTGAATTGCTTCAAAACCCTCTGTGTTTACATTCCTATACACCATAACACCTCATGTTCAAACAGCAGGCGAAAATTTTTGTTGTTAAAATGTCACAATATTCGGCAAATCAACATTCCACTTAAACCACCATGAAACCATTTGCCTTGAAACAAAATAAAATCAACTTGTTATAGAAAAATTTCGAGAAATCAAGGTCAATTTAAATATTCACGGTTAAAAATGTCAGAAGTGCAATCAGGGCCGTAAAATATAGGAGCTATATACCGGAAAGACAATTTCAAAATGATAATACTATAATATAACAGTTCTTGAAAAATGGCCTGATAAATTTATATAGAGTGCAATTTATTGTTGCATATGTTTACATTTCATTTCCTGCAAAGTTCTCCAGTTTGTTATTGATCATTTTAGCGCGACACGAATGACCGTTTCGTTAAGACTAAAACGACAATACTTTTATTAAATAGAGTTTCGGACTTTCACAATATTAAGGTAATCTTGCTGTTAAAAGCTTTCGAATTCATTTACGCCACTTAAATACATACATTACCCACTGTGTACTACAAAATGATGAGTTATTTCCTGTAGAAGTTACAAATGTAAGAACTTAATTACCGAATTTAAGTTTATTTTTTGTTTTGTCTTTTATACTGCTTTCAAAGCGGCTGAAGCGTGAACTTTGTTCCCGATCTCATTCATTAATATGACATGCTGCGAATCACCGAAGGGAAAGCCAATTTATGACTCTTTACATAATAGAAATAGGAAGGAGTTCTTAATTCCGAATTTATTTTTTGTTCAAATCGTAGGGATAAATTGATAAAAATCGGATCCATGGCCTGTTGGCGCGCGGAGCAATAGCAACAGTATTCACAAAGTCATTTAAGGTTAGATCCCCTAATGAGTATTCAGATTGGCTAGAAATACTGTCAACTACATTGAAACTCAGTGGCGTCCGTTCACAACTGGTCATTTCTTTCTTTCTTTTTTGCTTAATATATTATTTAGGTATCTCTCAGATACCCCTTTGACAAAAAGTGTTTAATTTCAATTTTTAAAGGTTTTTTAGCCAAATTTAATAACAGACATGGTACCTGATATTTTGAAAGTTTCATAAAACCTACGAAAATATTTCATGGTAAAATTATTTTATGTTTGACCAAAGCAGCCATTATTATAACTTTAAAAATGGGAAACTTTGACAACAGTCCCTCGTTTTGTACATTTTAGTGTTATGTCAGGCTCTCTAAGAAGTAGGGAAATTGTCAAATAGTATTTAAAATGGGTGGATGGCGAAACATTTTTGTAAAAATTTCAAACATTTCGCAATTATTTGCTTCCTTATAATGATTAATAGGAAATCATATGTTATAATGATTACATCTTACATTGTTTAAGGGTTTCTTCATTTCTAAGAAAACGCTCTTTTGATAGTCAAGCTTTAGTTCATAAAAACATCCATAACTCGTAAAAAATACGGTGAATACAAAGAAACGTTTACATTTTAAACCTTGTTTAAACGCATCACTTTTTCAGCCCTAAAATTGTGAACGGTAGATAATGCAGCATGAAGTTTTAATGTAAAAATCTGTTTGTAATTAGGGATAAGATGTCGTTTTCCGGACAAAATCTATTGGGAAATATATATCACTTTTCATTTAAGCGAACGGGAGCATTAAAATGAAGAAGCTGATCAAGTATTCACCGTCTCATGAACGCTCCTACAGATGGTTAGAAATTCTTACTGATACTGTTTTATCTGCAAAGTTTGAATTCAACATGACATTGCCAGGGACATGGGTTGAATCTTGTAGTTGACATGATCATCTGTGAATAAGTTCTGTTACTTTTTACTATTTTGAGATGAAGATAGACCTTTCTTAACATTCGGCTTATTACCAGATAAAAACAAGTTTTCATCAACATAAAAGTATTTGCTCCCGATTAATTTTAACCAAACTGCTAACACGTTCTATTATTATGCATACGGTGGAAGGTAACCAATTAATAAAGATAATATTTGTTTTGCATTAGAACTTAACATTTATCTGTTTGATACGGTGCATTTTATGTGACATTTTCAACACTTTTCCTCTTGATCAAACACAATTTATTCATTCCCCGTGCATCCGCCCAGTTGATAATTGTTTAAAGACATAGTGAAACTTTTTCATCATCTACATTTGCTTGTTTTATTCATGAAAATATTATTCATGATTTTTGTTTAAAATTAATAATGTCATCGTCATCTAACAATGGTTTTCTGAACTTCTTTTTTGAGCTTTAGTCTTCATAAATCTATAAGAATGTCGTCCGAAATTATGGCTATCAGTGGGAAAGCATACTTTTATATTCAAGTTTATATCGAATAAATATTACTTAAAATCATATTAAAGCATTAAATAAGATAATACATTTATTTTGTGTGTGTGGGTTTGCGTGAGTGCGTGCGTGCGTACGTGCGCGCGCGTGTGGGTGTGTGTGTGTTTGTGTGTGTGATGTAATTGTATTTTTTCTCATGAACTTCATGGGAGGGTTTTCTCACACGGGACAGCCACTTATGATAATACTATTTGTAAAGCTCACTCGATGAAATATGATTTATATTGCTCAATATCACATACATATTTTATTTAATGCTATTGTTACGGTTCGACATTATCGTTATACAAATCTACAGCAAGGAACATTTTGAATACAGTGACCGTAAAAGTCATTGGTTTGACTCTACATTTTATCCCTCTTTTGTCTATAGAATGTCGAGGAACCGAAAGAAATCCGCGACATTTTTGCAAGTGTTGTAGAAATTATACGAATAAGTCGAAGGGTACAATTATAGGCCTCAACGTTTTGTTCCCCTAGAACGGTCTCATAAAATATCGCGTCAAGTAAAAGCAATTTTCAGCGAGACTTTTCAAAATAGACATTTCTGGCATAAAAACCGAATTTTTATGCTCAAATTCGACGTTTTACAAATAATGCATCAAAACAAATATCGCAGATTATAAAGACCGCAATGAAAAGTATGAAATTAATTCATTTACCTGACAGGGTCATGATAAGCACAAAATAAGATTTTCATAAGAACTGTATATAATTTTTGTCTTGTGCACATCAATTTGTTATGTATGCAACATATTACATGTATTTAATTTATATCTGACCAGTTGGTATTTCCAATATTATCATTGTTCTATTTTTAGAACATAAACTACATGTATGTACTAGAACTTTCTTAACTGTAGTAGAAAACTCATGCATTATATTTAGATAGAAATTTCCGGAATGATCTTTATTGTTGAAGTTGATAGATTATGATTACTGTAGAAAAATGGAAGACTATTCTAGAAACTTCTTAGCTTAATATATATTGGAGACATTTTTCTTTCGTATTATCTTTTAAGTCATCAGTTACCTTTTAAGTCATTAATATATTTGGAGTATTTTTCAACTTGGATATTAAGTGATTTATTGGAGCTTGGATTATTTCAAAATAGATAAAATTATTCTTGTGGATGTTATTGTGGGAATTTATTCTAAAGTGTTCTTGGATTTTACTTGGATTTAAGTGTGCTATTCAAAAAAGGATCATTCCAGGATCAGACTAGACATTTGAATTTTACATTTTTATTTGGACTTCAGGTATTTGTGCACATAATTTGTTATTTTGATTTTTCTTTAATAATTTTTTTTTGTAATAAATTTGTTATTGTTACAAGTTTGTTGCTGGCTTTTCTTTATCGTTACGCCTGGCTCGTAACAAAGTCCCTTTAGGTCTCTCAGTTGATTTGTATACAAAATTTATTGTTTAAGGCTCTTGAACTTCAGTGAGAAATGTAAACATTGTGAAACAAAGTAAATTGAGCGTCCTGATCTTTTAATCCTGTTCGTGATCTTTTTTCGTAATTTTGGTTTATTTGAGGAAAATTTTATTTACTTCCGTAATCATTTCTCATTGTGTATATTAATGTTACCTTTATTAGATTGAAAAATACGGGGATAAAGGTATTTCGACGCATAATTTTTCATACCTATTCTCATGTAAAAAGGAACCAGAGACGCTTTTATTTAAATATATTGTATAGACTATAAAACCTAGTTCACACATACCTTATCTAACACTTAACTGATCTTCTTATTTTAGAAATAAAAGAATTCAAGTGTTTTAAACGGGTCGAAACAAAAAAAGAAGGAAATAAGAGAGAATGGAGTTTTTGTTTCGAATTAACTTGGTTTACATAATCCTTCGTGGAATAAATGCAATAGGTAAGAAAGATATTTATTTTTTTAATATTTCACATTCATAAATGTTTACATATAAAATATTTATAAAATATTTTTGATGAGAAGAACAGCTTTTCATGTGCATTAATTGGCAATTTTTACTGTTTTAATAAAATTTATTGTATTGTTTTTGCTTTTACAATATTTAGGATTTTTGTTCGTGTTAATATATTTTAGAGTTCTTCATTCTGTTGCTTAGTAAACTCTAGCTATCAATGAAGAAATACTAGAGTATAACTGTTTTCAAAACAAAAAATAAGAAAACATACTCGTACGCCTCATGAGTTGTTGGTGTTAGTCAGAGCTGCATTACTGGTACTTGTACTGCAGTACGTACTGCAGCGATTTTGCAAGTACTGGTACTGATTTACTCTTACAAAAGTTTGCTACTACTGGTACTGCATTACTGTCTTAAAAAGTGGTACTGCTACTGCATTACCCAGTACTTTTGGTTTTGATAAAAATTAAAAATAGCATCATTTTTTCACATAAAATAAAGCTGTAAATTACATTAACTATATTTTATTTTTATGAAAAAGTAAGTTATCAAATCTAAAGATAATTTGCTGCAATATTCCTTCAAATGTTAACAAAGTATTCATCATAAAAAGCACCAAAGACTTTAAGTAAAAATTAAATTAAGATAAACAGACTCAATAACTCTTAACCCTAAAATATCCTTATCAAATTCTTTTATTACTTTGTATTTACTAGTAAAAGAGCAAAATAAACACTTATTAATTTCTTCTATTCTAAATAATCCCATTTCAGTGAAAAAAGTGATATTGTTAGCACCATAAAAAGTTGTTATTTACTTTGGTATAAATTGAACAGAGGTGTGAAGGTGTGAAAGGCAACAAAAGACTAGTGTGTTTTAATTGTATTTATACAGCTGACTGGTTACTAAACAATTAGATATGACATGAATATATGTTGAAAATATTTGTTTGTAAAAAGTATGTTAAAACTATAAAGTTGTAAATATGTTATGTTAACTTTAAAGTAAATTAAGATTTTATTTCTTTGCTGAATAATATTTGCAATTATTTGTTTGACACTGTATTTATTCAAACTTTGATGAATATATAAAAGTAATGGTACTGGTACTTAATTACTTCACCAAAAAAAGTACTGGTACTGCAGTACCGAGCTAAAATCTAGTACTGGTACTGGTACTGCATAATTTGCCAAGTACTGGTACTGGTACTTAAGTACTACACCCTTAGTACTGATGCAGCTCTGGTGTTGGTGCTGTTTTGGCATATCAAAACTTCACTCGAATATATCTAAAGAAAATTGTGATTTCAAACGTAAAAAGATAAAAGAGGGGCATTTTCATATTAGTGTCAATGGCAGTTCGCTATTTTAATAAGTCTTACCTGTGAAAAATGATAAGAAAGTCCATCAAAAGATTCAACATGGCCCTATACACACTTTGTCAGCCTCAGAACTTATTCCGAATTCAGTTTTGAACTTTTTAGGTACACTGTTAAACACACGTAGAGAGTGCTTCCGACATCACAGCGGGTTTCGAACCGTTGACAGCGAAGGCAAATTGTGATGTATGGATGTATAGTCACGGGATATATGTCAAAACTATAAGCGGGATATAGCAAATACTTAAATTATCTGCTCCTCTGAATAAGCTTCAGCCAAGGCTTACCGATGCGCAGTGATTACCTTAAGCAGTGAAATCATGGTTACGGTAAAATATTCCAGTAACACTACCCCTGTCAGGCACAGCTACACGGGTCTCTACTCCATCACTAGGATCTAAAAGGCGCACACTTTTCTTAGCTTTAACTTTTCTTTCAAGAAAACATATAATACACTAAGGTCCTGTATGTCACATATCTCCTCCATCTTCATCAGCTATGTCTTTGACAGTGCTGATGTCTTTTTCAGAAGTATTGAAACTGGGCCGCCAAGGGCGTGGATCATCCTTAACAATAGTTCTACCCTCTTAAACATTGACATTCACCTGGCAATTGAACAATTATGGAAGGCCATTTTCTCCATAAACTAAATCAAGATCAGTTATTATTTCCGGCGCGCATATATCCAATAGCCAATGAATTTTGCCCTCTCTCAAATCACAATGCAACTCAGCCATTTTTACCACAATTACAAAACAATATGCAATAAAATGACCTGCATATATAATATTGCTCCTGCTTAAATAAAACTGTTGGATAGAAAAATCAATAATCTTAATAGATGTACTCTCACGTGCAAGTCATGGTTAAATTAAGTTGTTGTCACTTATTTAAATATTACCCCTCTTACATACCTGCTTCTTTGTTAAAAGCGGTCTAGTAAATATCACTTACCGACCGCTTTACAGGTCTGCAAATATATACCGACCTCTTTTTGTTCTATTGTTCTCTATACAATAGAAAATGATAATGCAAAGTCAATATTTACTGTAAACGTATATCCCATAACTCAGAAAATTTAAAAAAATAACGCTGAATTGCGAAAATTTATAGGGGGGGGGGGCGATAATGACCACTTCGAATAGGAAAAAGGGTCGATATATATTTTAAAGTACATTTCATCAAATTAAAGGAAATAAATTAGCGCATACGGCTGTAACGACCCTCATAACATATATTCCAGATTATTTGAAGGAAAAACGAACTGGCTACTGTTCTGGCGTTGCAATTAGTGTTTTGCCGATACCAATGATGACAATAACGCACATTTAGCCTTTCTTTATGGTTTTCCTTTCGATGTACCTAAAAAATTTGCCGAACTATATAGCTTCATTAGAAAATAGTTTTCAGCATTATTTCCACAACCATGTTATATTTTGCACAATGTTGCATTATTTTAACAATTCTGAATTATGGGATATATACGACAATTATATTATTTGTGCATAAAGGATTAAAGTCAACTTCTGCATCTTTCATTCAAAAAAATATTACTTTCAGTGAGAGTATAGTTCATCTTAAGTATAAGACTTTTTTTTTCATTTTCCCCTCATTTTTTACATTACAATTTGGATTTTGTATACCAGTACTCGCCTGTTCTTCGCAAGAATACGACTTGCGCTTCCGTGCTAGACCGCGTGCTAACATGCGATCTTATCAAACATATGAATAAGGGATATGCTAATTAAGTATACACCGAAAGAAAATTCTTCCAAACATGAATGAAATTCTAAGAATATATAAAATTGCCTTCATAAAGAAAACAACAACAACCTAAAAAAACAACTTTCTTGACGGTATAACTACATATATTACTAATATTTATTCAAAGAACCCTGTCTTTTACTTTACTTTGAAATATTCGTATGTTTTAATTTATATCAGAAATAGCCTGATCATCTATTTATAATGACATTTGTTATATATAAAGAAAAAGTGTTCCGTTTTCATGATTAGAAAACTTTTTAATCTTCCTCAATATTTGTATAAATTATTAATATGTTATGTATTCATATATCAAAATAATGATCTTCCCTTGCTTACTTGAAACAGAATCTGGACTAGTTATGTTTTCATTTTCTGTGACTCAACAGAACAAGTACAATTACCTGACCTTATTACATAATGAAACCCCACAAAATACACGAGAATATTCAAATAACACCTGATTTGTGAACGAATGAATTACAAGAGCGTAGCGGTTGGTATCTATAAATGGCTTTGGAATGCTTTCTTAAACATGATAAAGTACTTAAATAATATGTTTCTTGTGAGTAACATTAATTAATGTCTTTAAAAAAACCTCGATCGCTACGCTCTTACAGTCTTCAAATCGCCACCAGGGTCAGTAAATACTATGCAGACCTATTTCTTACACGGTACATATTTCGTTTATTTAATGAAAAAAGTTCATTGTAATTTTAAAAAGAATTGCTCCGTTGTGTAAGGTCTGTAAAACAACAGATGATTACTTTGATAGTATTCAGTATAAGATATGTCAACAAACCTATGGATGATGTTGGCAAATGTGAAATACATGTTCGATTACACATATTTTTACAGCATATAATAAAATGTTTCAAATCAAAATATTATTATTCATCACAAGAATGTTCAAACGTTACTATGTAGAACTTGATCAATGGTTTTTTGCCACAAAAAAATTGCATATAAACAACAAGGTGAATCATTTCTATTGTTTGTAACATTATTTGAAATAGTTATGGAAAATGTGATCATTGTAGACCTATCCACTTCATGTTTTTTTAGGTATCGCATTAAACATTAAAAAGTTTATCAGCAAATTTCAGAAGTAAAATAAATATTAAAACAAATTATACAACGTGACATCATTATCAGGGTTATAGTATCGACCCTATATATCGACAGTTTTAAGGTCTGAAATTGTTTAATCGCTATATACATGTACGTTTACCTTCAAAATAATTACAGAATTGTTAAATTTAATTTTCATAGTTTAGTTATTGAACATGGTGTGTAATATTGTTACGATCTTAATAAAAACTCTTTTGTAAAAATTGACGCCTTCGTTAACCTATTTATGAAATGCTGCGACATATGATCGTGATATGAACCTGACCTTTGTACTGATAAGTGTACCCGTCCGGATGTAAAATTCTGGAAAGCATTAATCACAACAAAATAACATAAGAATTGCAGACTCGGTTTGATTGAGTCTGTACATGAGGGATAATGAATAAGTGCAACATCCCTCACGCCCCCTAGCACCGGCTAGAGCGGTACTCAATTCTCAACACTTTATAGTGTTGTCATCAATGATCCCGAAGGACCAGAAAATATAAAAACACTGAAGTGAAGTACGGGGCAACTTTTTACGGCTGCCACACGGCACTAGACACCTGCTGTTGTGAAGTACAAAATTCTGGAAACAAAGTAATCCCTCGGAAGCATTAATCACAACAAAATAACATAAGAATTGCAGACTGGGTTTGATTGAGTCTGTACATGAGGGATAATGAATAAGTGCAACATCCCTCACGCCCTCTAGCACCGGCTTGAGCGGTA